GGGTCGGGGTTTAGGAGTTTAGACAGACAAGATGTCCCAACCCGTGGACAGACCGCGAAGTCCTGAGAAACTCTGAAAGCTACAGGCCTTTTGCTTGACATCTGGTGGAAACCTGGAAGCTGCCAAACTCCAGAAAGGAGGTGTATGCTGAGTCATGACCCTAAGCCCCCAGGTATCTACTATATAGGGTACTAGAGCCCCTAGGGCCCTATGTTGTAGGTACCTGGAGGGTTAGGGTGATTTTGTATTGACTGTCAGACCATGAGTCCATATACCAGGCATGACAGACATCTGGAACCTGAACCGTGGAAATATAAGAACAACCCTATTGAACATGGCCGTGCTGCTAGAAAGGCCAAAGCTTTCCTCCAATCGAAGCACCCAAGCTCATCGATCCGGACCTGCTGGTCAGGGGTTAGGGTTTGGCTGTTTAGGCGGGCACGGCTTCACGACTCCTAAGTCAAGCAGTTACACTCTGTCAGGCTGCAACTTATCATACCACAGGTTCAAACAACCCACCCCGCCAGACCAACCAATAGCAAGCATCAAGTCTAGGAGCCAGGCGCTGCTCGCGATGATTCTGATTACTTCGCAGATTATTGGCACGGATTACTTGAGCTACAGGTAATGCATCAGAGGCCACGAGTAGCCTGATGCCATGCTCTGATTGCACCACCACATGAAATCTACAGCACAGCTGGCTATGTCCAGACTGCATTCAAAGAGGTAGGCCTGAAGACAGCGAAGTACCACCCCTCATGTCGCGAAGGCCAAACCCTCGTCAAAAACCCTGCCTATTTCGGGCCCCATACGTAACTCCTACGTAGTTTCATGTAGCAGCTGTACAAACACAGTAAAACACTCAGTGTGCATGACTACGGCGCCTGCGCCACAGGGGTGTACACTACACGCTCTATGTAGTTCCGTACGCAAGAGCGGCAGGAAGTCTTGTGCCATTCTGGTCAGAAGGAAAACAGGATGAGTTCCAATCTGCTTCAATCTCATAGCAACTTGTACTTTAAAGTCATCCGCATGAGCCCAAACCGATTGAATCAGTCCATACATCAACCACAGCCCTACATGATTCCTTTCAAGCGAAGTCGATCGCTCTTTCTAGCTGCCGCCGGTTAATGACGCGCGTGCCGAAGTTCCAACATACGCCAGTTAGGATCACAATCCAAGTCGTAGTTGCGGAACTTGGGCATGTCGACCTTTGTTAGGTTCAGGTCCCACCTGTCAGGATATTGGCGACTCTGCGACTCACTTGCTCTGCGTGATGCAGTCGGTGACGGTGTTCAGTCCAGTCCCTCACATCTCAGACACAGAAGGGCCGTTCTCCGAACTGCAAGTCTCCATCTCCACCGTCAATGCTACATCCCTGCGACGCCTCCTGTTTTGCACCTGCTCAACAAGCGATCCTATCAGCAGCACCATCAGCATCATCGTGCCGATCACCAGCACGATGCACAAGGATATCAAATATCGCATCGTCAAGGCTTCCCTCTTGTCCCACTCTTGGGTCACCGCCAAGCTGGCCAGCAGCAGCGCGGTGACACTAGCCGCAAGGGCGGAGCCCTCGATGCGGTTCAGGTAGACGTCCTCGTAGGGCCACACGACGACATGCAGCAAGAGGCTGCTTACCAGGACAGCCAGCGTGAGGGTAAGGTTGGTCGAGGCAGCATAGCTTGGAGGGGAGAAGACCCTCACTTGGAGCAACAACACCTTCCGAAGCAACGGAACCAGCTCCCACCACTCTACTCCAGGTCTGTAGTGTGATACCAGGAAGCCCATTATCTTTCTTCGCGATGCAGAGTGCCAGTCGTGCGACCTTCGAATCATTTCCAGCCAATACACAGGCACGAGCAGGATGCAGACGAAGATGCCAACGCCGGCAATCGCTTGTGCATGCAAGGGGCGGCACTCCTCCCAAACGATGAAAGAGTTGCGCTGCAGCGCCTTGCCGTTGTGGTGACTTTTGCTCATCTGGAAGCATGAGAGTGGCTTCGCGAAGCCGGCACAAACATTGGCCATGTAGGCATTGCCGAGAACGAGGGTGCCTTGTATCATGACAACCTCCGGATGGCGAAAGCCACAGTGGCTTGCGACCCAAGTCCAGATCCAGCAAGACAGCAGCAGCAGGAGAGGCGGGGACACGTCGAGCATGGCCAAGCGGTAAAAGTCAAAGTGCCATTCGGGGAAAAGACACTCGTAGCTCTGACTGTACAAACTTGTCGCCGAAGTCGCGGCCTCTGTCAGGCCGATGTAGCTTCGCAGGGATACCTTCGCCGTGTGGTACTCCTCGAGACTCGAGACGGCTTGGAGGATGCAGTTGCAGGCCTTAGTGGAGTCAGTAACCTCTCTGGCCTTCATTGCAATTCCTACAAAATAAAGGTAAACCTCCAAACTCCCCCTACGAAACTGGACATGAAAGAGGCCGTCCCAAAGGAGACCATGATCTTGAAGATCACACTCGTCCGCCGTCGAGCTCTTTGAGCAGACATCATTCCGACGCCGAAGAGACCGACATGCTTCAAGGCCAGCAGCAGCCATTGAAATGATTTGGGCGGGCACTGCTGACAAACAAATGGGTCGTTGATCTTCCGGCCGTAGCCACTATCACATGCCACGCAGCCGGCAATACCTTCTGCATGGCCCGGAGAGCACTGGTCCTCCAGCCCGTACCCTCCGAGCTGGTGCTTCTGCCCAGGGCAGGCGGATGGGTTCGGACAGCGCCAAGCCCACATCTTCTGTCGGTCATCAGATTCCTGGAGAGAGTGCAAAGTTACCATGACACCACGTGGTACCTCAATTTCGCCCCTCGCACATGCAATCAGAGCGTCGACAGACTCTGCAAGAGTGGCGCAGTCGATGCAGGAATTCTTGATCCGTTTGTAAGGCCCTGCACCCAAGGCAATATTTGTGAACACCAGCGGCATATGGATAGATGCGGGCGACACAGTTCCATATTCACAAGGGGAACAGGTGGCGCGAAAGACTCTCATACGGCTTCGGACGGTACACGAGTTGCAGAATGCGTCCAGGCAAAGACACGGAAAGGACGTGGTGCATGCAAGGTCAAGCCTGTGCACCGAGTTGTTCATGACATGCCCAGCACCGCCAAAGGTCATGCAGCAACCAGCAGAACCAGCAGGGAGAAGTGTTGAGCAGTCCATCTTCGACCGACTGGGCACCGTCTTCACTTCCCAATGGTCTTCGTCAGTGAGGCTGAATTCTGGATAGGATCCGGGGGAGCAGGTCAAGTCCATTGGATTGGCCGATCCAGGCCGCCACAAGGCATCGATCGGAAAATGCAACACTACCGAATCCCCACCCAAGTGGGCAGATATTCTGTGGTGGAGTTGAACATCGTCAAACTGGATCTGCGCCCCTTCCGTCTGGAAGTCCAGGTCTATGCACCGAGTTCGAGAAGGGGGCGTGCAAAACACATAAACGCTCTGAAGCCGCACTCTCTGCACACTGCGGGCTTTCAGGAACCTCACCGAATTTTGGAAGCTTGCGTGTTCAATGTTGACATCCACAGCGAAGTCTGCAACGATGGCTCCCACCTTCAGCCACGCAAAAATGCACCATTGAACATGCAGAAAAACACTTCCAGTCGCATCGATCCCAAAATGACACCACGACTTCGAAATTCTCGTGTTCATAAGCAGCGTGGGCTGTCGGAACCCGGCTCTCAAAACAGCAGTGGTTCTTGTTCTAGGGCCCTGAACGCAGTCGCAGTTTTCGAAGGTCATGGACCAGCCTTTTAACACCAAGCTACCATCAGACCAGATTGCCGCACCCGACCTGGCTTCGCAGCTCTGAAAGGTTGCATACGGAGCCGTGACATTCACGCTGCTTTGAGCATAGATGGCTCCACCACGGCCCATGTCTGATCTGCAGTTTGTAAAATTTACCTCCTGCCCATGCAACTCCACGTTCCAAGCTGAAATAGCACCGCCCCTGTAATTGGCACTGCAGTTCTCGAAATGGAGCCGCCCGGAGACTTGAGCAACTAGCCCGTGATCGGCGAATCGAGCTTTCACTGTTCTGAGAGCGCCACCCGTCGACTGTGAATGGCAATTCCGAAAGACTACATCGCCCGAAATAGTCACTGTTGCCACTGCCGCAACGCATGACTCATTCCATGCAAAGCCACCATGGTCGAAGACCAGCGTGCCAGTCAACCAGCCACTCTCCAAGAAAGCCAACGGAGCAGCAATTATTGTGCCTATGCTGAAATTGGTACCCTGGCACAAATCATTTGCTGTTTCTTAGGGGTTATAGTAACCGATACTAGAATTCGATTCCAATTACGTTCAGGTGCCCGGGACGCCAACAAGACGACACTTCCGTTTAAATGTGAGACGTTCGTCATATCGGCGAGCCGCAAGGCGAAGGACACCGCCGTCGCAAGCACCTTCAGGTTCAGAAAGGTAAACGTTTACTTATAACCTCTGTTGAAGGAACCGCAAAAACGCGTGTAGCACCCCTTAGAGGAACTCTTGAAGGCAACTCTTACAACTCCTATAGTAACCTTTTGACTTCCCCTTTACAAGGCTAGTGTTCAACTCCGGGTCCTTCAGGCTGCAGTTTAAGCTCCGACTCGTTTCTCACCGCATCTGCGTCGGGGATCGACTGGCCAGGCGCAGCGCAGCCCAGCACCAAAAGAATGCATGTAACATACATAATGGCGCGGATGACTCTAACAGGTTCTGTCTTAAAAAACGGCTTTTATACATGGCCTTAACAATCCCTGTAATCAGAACTGGGTTTGGGATATATTGTCATTAATATGAGGAACTTAGAACTAATACAGTTACTCAAGCCCATGCTTCTCTCATCACAGTGACACTGGATGCACCAGCCCTGTAATGACTTGAAACGGAGGGCTTCATGGCCATGGAGTCCCTGTTGCAAGGTAAGCAGAAGTACGAATTTTCGGACTCAGAGAGTTTCAGGACCTCAGCTTTTAAGTCTAGGGTGCCCGCGGCTCTGTGGGGCCACGATGCAGTCCGAGGCAGCCAGGTTCTTCTGTTTGAGCGTCGTCTAGGCTTGATGCTCGCGGCTTGACCTGGTAAAGTGTTGACACATGAGATGTGGCGTGGAAACTTCCGCGGTCTGGAGGCAGGGGACAGAATTCTAGTCCCAAGGCAGAATCTATTGGTCTCGATCAGGTTTGTATGCAAAAAGGAGCCTCAGTGATGAGACCAGGATTTTGGCCCAAATAGTATTGGTAATTTTTAGGGGCTTCTACTAGGCCAGGCCCAGAAAGCAAAAAGGGCCAGATCTTCCAACATCCCTTAATTAAGCATTCTACCCTAAACAATAATTGTAGGAGCCCTAAACCCTAACCCTAAGCTTAAGATCCCTAATACGATTTGAAGTATATCCCTTGAATTAAAGGATTTTGGAAGAGCTGGGGATGTCGAACACCAGTGCAATTTCAAACAATGCGCTTTTGTACATTGCAGCATGGAGCTATACAAAAGCTTTAATGAATGGGATGTGGGGGCATTCTGGAGTGCATTTATGTGCGTGTGTGTGTCATACCTGCATACCTACCTACATGCATGC